GCCTTCACTGTTTGTATCCTTGAAGTCCTGCACTTATTTTTCGCTTTTTTTTGGGGTTTCAAACGGCAGCCACCTGCCTTATCACACTATGAATGCCACTACGCTTTTAAATCTCCCAGCCCAACTTTGCGGGCCCTTTAAATTCACTCACATCATAGTTGCTGGTTTTTTTTTAATTAAACGTCATGCAACTTTCGTTTTCACAAATGATCGCTTGAGAGATGTTTTCCCCGCTATCTGTTTCTTTTTTACCCACCCCAATAAGCCTTCAAATCACTCCCGCTTCGATTATTTTGAAAACATGTTGCACTTTTGGGAAGAAAGCTTTCCTGTGTGTTTTCTTGCCCCCCAATAGTAGCGATGGTTGATTGGGGTTTTTTACAACCGACCAGTCAGAGCCCGACTCCCCTTTCATACTTTTGCAAGATCTCTTTTTATCTCCATAGTAAATTTTCACCCTTTTTGCTGTGGGTTGGCACTAGAAGCTTTCTTGGGGCCCTGGGGATTTTTTTGCAGGGCAAACATACAAAGGTGTGATAATAGAAATGTTCCGTTGTATGTTTGGAAGCAACCGCAGTGGTGGCTTGTAAAAAAATGGCACCCACGGGACAAATGAGGCGCGCTAGGCCGAAAGTGGGGTCTCGTACGGAACGAATAGCGCTGGGGGGTTTTTAAGCGTAGTAAGGGAAAAAATTGGGGTTAAAAAATGTTTTAGTCGTTTATCTTTTAAATGAGATCGTGGTTAATCCACTGGGGGGAAAGTTTTGTAATTTAATTTTTTTTTTTTTGTTTTTATATACTTAATAAATTAAAAAAAACCTTGTTTATTTTTGAAAAAAACATTAAAGATTGTTTTTGGGATTAGCATTTAGATTTTTTGATTTAATTTTTGGAAATAAACTTATTTAAATTATTTGGGTTATATAAAAATTTTTTTTAAAACATTAAAATTAATTTCCCCCCCCCCCTGTACTAGGTATAAGTTAAGATATTTCAGGGAAACGGAAAACGTATTAAAAACCCCTGCCCATGATTTTTTTTCTTTAAAAATGAAATTTTTATTAACCCAAAAAGTCCCAAAGTTTTTAATTTAATTTGTCATTATTAACATTGGCACGATGGCCGGTCGCCTAGACATGAGAAGGGGTTGTGCGCATCAGTGTGCGCCATTGAAAAAAATTGGGGGGGGCCACATGCTCTTTTTTCCTAATAAAAAAAAAAAAAAAATTTTTTTAAAATATTCGGGGCCTTCTAGGTATAGGTTGGTAGACAGCAGCTGCTCAGGGAGGACACCCCTCCCTGCAAGTGAGTGCAAAAAAGAAAACCTGCCCTTGTTTACTTAGGTAGGATTGGTGGTGTCCTTTTTTTTTTTTGCCTATAAAAAATGCAAGGTTTCATATCTGCTACTTCTTCTTACCTTGGTCACACTAACATAATGTAAAGCATTTATATACAATCCCCTGGGGTTTTTTTCATTTTCTTACTAGTTCTTGTTCTTGTTTATTTCCTCCTACCTCCATGGGGAAGTGGAACAGAATTCTTCCTCCGTAAGCCATGCGTGTTGTAAGAGGCGACTAAAATGCCGGGAGCAAGGGGCTAGTAACCTCTTCTCCTGTATATATTACTAAATGTAAAAGGAGAAACTTTCGTTTTTCCTTTTGGGCCACCCCGCCTTGGTGGGATACAGCCGGTGTGTTGAAAGAAAGAAGAAAAGGAGAAGCTTTTGTTTTTCCTTTAGGGCCACCCCGCCTCGGTGGGATATGGCTGATGTGTTGAAAGATAGATAGATTTGGGGCGCTGCACAGGCGAACGTATATATATGTTTGGACTGTTTAAGGGTTAAATTACACACAGGAAGACAGTATCAACATTTACCCTTTCAAGGTCAGTCTCATTGTACATTGGCACTGAAGTCAGTTTCGGTCCTGTAGTACAACGCAGTGAGCTCAACTCACTCAGATAAGCTGTGAGTGGTAAATCTGGGCCTAGATATGAGATAATAGATCTATGTGGTAAGTGCACACCATATAAAAAAAAAGCCTGCAGCACGCAGTGCATGAGGAAAAAAACGGCAACAGCGATTTTTGTTTAAAACAGTGAATTTGCAGTGTATTTTTGTATGGTTTTTAAGGATGTATTCTCTGTTTCTTGGTCTCATTTCATAGAATGGATGATATATTACAGAAAAAGAGATGATTTTGATTGATTTCACAATGAAAAGTACCTTCAAATTGAGCTCAAGGCAGTGGAAATGTTCGATTTTTGCCAATGTTCAAGAGTAAACAAATCATGCCACACATCCAATACACTGGTAAGTCTAATATTTTTTCACAAGTGCGCTGATATTATTTATACTATTTTTACAATAATGCAGTAGTCCGCATAACAGTAAATCTTCTATTTTTTGTGTGAATAAAAATTAAAAATAGAAAGCAAGAGTAATATAAGAGGGGCCTGGAGACATGACTAATAAACAGAGATGTTATTTTAGTGCCAGGAATGTCTGCCTTGTTTATTCTGGACCTATTTTGAAATTGGCATCTTTTAAAATCTGTGTGAAATTGGCCAAATTGATGATGAAAGTGTTTCTTTTGTTGGGTCACCCATCTCGGTGGGAAATAGCCGACATAAAAAAAAAAAATATCATCAAAAACAGTATGATGCCAATTAGGGTTATATGATTTGTGCCAACTGGGATGTTTTATATTGTCTCATATTGCAGGCAGCGGTAAATTATTTTTTCCTGTATTTTTGTTTTTTGACCATGAATAAATTTTTTTTTGGCATATAATACTGACACTATCACAAAAATTTCCATAAAACTGGGACTTCAAGAGTCCTGAGGTAGGAAGTACTTTGCCTGTACTCTAAAGGAAGGGTGGGGGATCTAGCAGTCCAGAGGAAATCTTAGGGAAATACCAATTAAAGATTTTGATACCAGTGACTGTGGTATTGTCAGTTTGCAGCCTGAGAGATCAGACATAGACCTGGATGTATATCTAGATTGTTTATTGTCATCTGTTAGGCACATCAACCTGCACACCTCTGGCAAAACAGTGATGGAGTGAATAATGATGAAAGTGTTTCTTTTTTGGGTCGCCCTACCTTACTGGGTCAGTGTGTTTAAAAAAATATGTTGAATCTTGCAATTTTCATATTTGTAATCTCTATGAAGTTAGAAAATATCTTGATAAGAAGAGTACCTTGGTTCTTTGCCATCTATTTGTTCCCTCTTGAATTGACTTTTGGAACTATTTGTAGGTTTGCCTAACTACCTACTAAAAAGACTTGTTTGTACTGAATAGTGCAGGTAGACTGGTATGCAGTTTTGCTCCTACCTGGAGTTCCCACTAATCACTACTTGTATATCTGCATGTTCTATCAGGAAGATGATTTTCCGTGGTCAAGCCAGCTATCGTTCTTTGATCCCCCTCTTGGTCAGTGCGCAGGTGCATCAAATGTGACTAAACCCGGTTCTTTTATCTTTGGGAATATCAGACAATGAGTGGAAAAACGTCCAATGTTTTATCAGGTGGGTAACGAAACCAGTACCTTAGTACTCAGTTTTGTGAAGAGGTGTGAGTAGGTTAAGAAGGCCGTCCACTGCATTTTCACTATGAGGCAATACTGTAAAATCATAAAACATTAATTTTTAACCCTTTGTAACCTTTATCAAAAAAATATTTTAAGGCTTTTTCTTAAATATAAAGATAGGTGGTCCTACAAAGAATTTAAGGAATAGGTAGTTTAACAGAAACATATGTCAGTCTCAGTTTAATGAAGAGTTTATAAAAAGGGAAGCTTAAATGCAGAGGTAAAGCGTAAAATAATTAAAATTAACAAAATAACCTTATCAAAAGAAGAAGTCAATGTATAAAATAAAGGAAATTCTCAGCAGCACAGATTAAACAATGAGTAATTATTGGTGCTTTAAACAACAATATGTCAGGCTCAGCTTTATAAAAATTTATAAAAAGCAAGCTAAATGAAAAGCAAAGTACAAATAATTAAGGGAAGAACAAAAACCACAGAATTAGAGGAAGCAAAGTATAAGATACTAAATGTGAAATTCTCAGCTTGTTTATAACTGATGAAACCTGAGACATAGTGACTTTAAACATCAAACAGTCAACTGAAACTCAAGAGACAAACATCCAAAGAGGAGGTAAAAACATAACAACTAGACACAAACAAAAACACAATAGGACCAGACATGATAATGTCGTGAGTCTTAAAAAAATAAGAAGACAAATTTATCCACTGAAATTTTGGGGGCGAGATTTCACATGAAGGTAGATAAACTAATGAAAATGGCACACATTGTGTTAGCCCCCCCCCCCCCCCCCCAAAAAAAAAGACAGATGAGGAACTTCAAATCTACAGGCCAGTCTCATTGACAACCAGTGTTTTGGAATTACTGGAAAAGTGGATAAAACACTAGGAAAGCAAATGACTGATAATAAGCAAACAGTTTAATTTTCAATCAGCAAATTCCTGTAAAATTAATCAATTAAGCAGTCATGACAGTCACAGAAATTATTCAAGAAAGAAATGTATGGATAGATTGCACTTATTTAGACTTCAATAAAGTTTTCAACAGTTTCCCACTAGAGCACAGTGCTGGGATGATACCAAAGTTTCTGCTGATACCGTTACTCAATTTTAGGTCGATTGCCATATCAATATGTACTAATCAAAATTATTCAATACTTCCCAATACTATCAAAATTAGCTGACACTAACCAATCCGATTCTTTGGCATACGCCAACTACTGTGTACTCTGGAAACTGGAAAAAACAGAAGGAAAAAAAAAAGGAAAATATTGCAGTGGATGAGAGATTTTTCTGTTTGAAAAGATAATGCAAACAGTGAGATGCGGCAAGATGTCCTTAAAGGGTTATGTTGTTTGCTTGTGGAGTATCACAAGGAGCAGTGCTTTCCTTGATCTTTCTAATGTTTATAAATGACTAACAGAAGAAATTAAAAACAGTATTTAAACATTTCCAGAGTTTACCTGTAAGAGTGCAACTATCCACTCAATTCTTGAAATGGCAAAAATGGCCTTGAAGTCATTATCTAGAGTGTCAATGCTGAGCTGCTCTCCCTGCTGCACTCGAGCATCCATCTTCAACATCATGTGAAGGATAATATCGCAACATGTATCTGGACAGTCTTCAGCTTCGAGGATTGGTGCCAGTGGTATTATGCTGCGTGGGTGCAACTTGTATTTCACTATCATTTGTTTGAGTAAAGAAATATCTGAAATACAAAACTGCTTATTCAATAGATAGCTATAAGACTCATAACTTACAACCATGGATTCAAACTTTTTATTAGTGCTAATTGCAATTAAGGAATTTTCACAGAGAAGACCCCAACTTAAAACAAGTTAGAGTGCTGGTGTTTCAACTTACAAACGAGTTGTTTGTACTGTAAAGTAACAGAACAAATGAATGCTAGTACTGAAGCTCATTGGTTGCAAAACTTTAATTACTTCTTAAGTGACACATTTGTAAGGGTGAATGTTTGTAACTTGGGGAGTTCATAAGTGGGAGAACTTTAATTTTTTTTTTGGTTTTTTTTTGAAGAATTAAGAACTAAATTTTGAGTATTGAGTTCAATGAACCACTAGCAATACCAGTACAAGAACCACTAGTAATACCAGTACAAGAACCACTAGTAATGTAACCAATCAGTTTTACATACTAAATAACCAGTTTCAAAACCAACCTACACTCTTTTGGTTAGTTGACCTCCTTCAATTTCCTACACACATATCCATAGCTTGGGGACTGACAAAGTGCTGAGAGTCCATTCTAGCAACTAAAGACATAGCAGCTGAATGAAGGAGATGCCTGCTTTTATTGTTAATTAAACCATACACAACATAATTTTTAATGTTTTTCAAACCATTGTATTCTATGTACGGGCTCTGATGAACTATTGGCACCCTACTGCAGTATCTCATTGGAAATGGACATAGCTGTAAATGGGAAAAGGACAACTCATAAGTACATACAGTGGTACCTCGAGTTACAAACTTAATTTGTTCCAGAAGGCTGTTCAAGTGCCGGTCCCAAATGAATTTGTTCCGATACGGAATAATGTAAATTAGACTAGTCTGTTTCAGACCCCTAAAAATACACTTACAAAAATACACTTACATAATTGTTCGAGTTGGGAGCTGTTTGAAACTCAAGATACCACTGTATTACCTTAGTATAGGTAGGAGGCCCATAAACTTTTAGACAGATTTTTAGGGACCTTTGAGTAAATTGTCAAAAGCCAGGATCTCTTACTGCAGGTGCTGAGTGAATCTCTACATACTGAAATTAGAGATTGCTAAAGATCCCTAACTAGTAAGTGATAAAATCCTGAATGTTGCATGACAAGGTCAAACATCCTGATTTTTTCCATTTCAGCAATACAAGCATCCTACATAATCACAACCAGCAAGGAAAACAATGCAAGTGCCATAGTTACCAATCAAAGACAAAGAGAAAAAAGGGGAGAGAGATATTCATTAAATTCTTTTTGCCAATGGCCCAGTGGGGCATTGCTTTAGAACTAGGCCATAACAATTCTTACCTGACTCACCCTTGATGACCCCTGGAGGTCTATTATGATCTGACAAGAACCTAATTTACCTGTTCCAGTGATCACTGTGAGTAATGTGAAGTCACCTCAACTAATGTGAAGAGACTATGGAATGCATGACTGACTCAGCTACTGGGAGGAAGACACGAAGGAATAAATGGTTGATTCAGCTACTTTGCAAGAGACAGAATGAATAAAAAATGAAGATGCAATACTGGGGCTGGAATAATTTACACAAATAACCTGCACATAGAATGTATGACTCAGCAACAGTGAGTTAAAGACAGCCACTGAGTTAAAAAAAAATATATAAACAAGATAGCAAAGAGTTCTGCAACATACTGTATATGAAATTGGCATCAAACATTTTTCCCAGAAAGGAACAAAAGACCTAATAATAAAAGACTGGTTTAGTGGAGGGTTCTGTAGAGCAATGAACAAGACAGGATTTAGAATTAATTTAGAACACATGCAAACCTAAGGATTTATAAGATTCTGACAAGCCAAAAATGAATATGAAAATGAATGAAGGGAGAAAGAAATTCTGAAATAGTATACAAGACAAGAGCAAGACAGAATAAGACAGAATTTAATGTTATTCAAATTTATAAAAAGCAAGCTAAATGTGAAGCAAAATACAAATACAGTATATTATTATTATAAACAAAAAGAAGCGCTAAGCCACAAGGGCTATTGAGTTAAATACAGTATAGAACCCCCGTACAGCACAGAACCCCTGTATCCGTGGATTCGGTTTCCGTGGATTTAGATATCCACAGTTTACCATGGCCCGAAAATAACCCTTAATTTTACTTAATAGCGGCCTCAAAGTGTAAAAGTAATGATGGTGGCATGAAGTGCTTTCCCCCCTCTCATCTGCGACTGCTTGACAGAGCAGAGAACAGAGCAAGATGTCTCATCTCTCACATGGACCAATCCAGGAAAGATATGTCATTTCAGCAGAGCCTTCAACACAGGAGGGATGTGGGTGGCCTTACTGTTATGTACAAGGCCAATATTGTCAAAGTACCACACTTGGATCCACTTTGAGGACAGCATGAAGCAAGCGTCTATACCACAAGATGGGCAGAAAGCAGCAACTTCACTCTGGCTGTACCCATCTCCAGAACATCACTTCATCTGAGATCATTTATCCCCAGGATGACTCAAGTATGGAACACATTCATACAGCATTATGTCAACGAGATAAAGTCAGTTGATCAGATGAAAATGCTGGCCCACAGATGGCTCCAATTGCATCCTGTTCCTACTTGTATGTCTCATAACAATAAAAATGCTTTCAAATGAGCTGATGTAGGTAACAGCTCTTAGCTTGTCAATAAAGTTAGGAATCCTTAACCTGTAAATAGCTTATCAATAAAGCTAGGGATCCTTAACCTTGTCAAACCCTGTGTAAGGAAAAAAAAAAGTGCTAAGTCTCGACTAATTGTGCATAATTTATCAATTAATCTTTATCATAGGTATGTATGTAAACAAAAAACGACTTATATATATAGGGTTTCCTATTATCCACGGTTTCGGGTATCCACAGTAGGTTTTGGAACGTATCTCCTGAAGATACAAGGGGACTACTGTAATTAAAGGAAAGAACAAAAACCACAGAATTAGCAGCAATGTATAAGTTACTAAATATGAAATACTCAGTTTTTTTTATAACAGAGGAAACCTTACAGGTAATTCCTTTAAACACTGAACAGCCAACTAAAACAGAAGAGACTGAAACATCCAAAGAGGAGATAAAAACACTACAACTAGATGCAAACAAAAACATAATAGGATCAGACATAATGATATCACGAATCTTAAAGAAATGAGTAAAAGACAAATTTATCCACTGTAAAATTTTGAGGGGGAAGATTTCACAAGAAGGTAAATGGACAAATGAAAATGGCACACATTATGCTAGGAAAAAAAAAAAAAAAGGACACAGATGAGGAACTTCAATCTACAGGCCAGTTTCAGTGGCAACCAGTGTTGTGGAATTACTGGAAAAGACGATAAAACACTTGGAAAGCAAATGACTATTGATAAGCAAACAATTTAATTTTCAATCAGCAAATTCATGTAAAACCAGTCAATTAAGCTATCATGACAGTCACAGAAATTATTCAAGAAATAAATGTATGGACAGACTGCATCTATTTAGACTTCAATAAAGTTTTCAACAGAGTTCCTCACTAGAGCATAGTGATGGGACGTCAGTGATGGGACATTAGTGATGGTGTACAGAAATATATCTTGTTGGATGAATCTTTATGAGCCAGCTGGCCAAGTGGTTAATGCACTGGCCTGGAGTTGTAGGTCTCACTTGCCGAGGGCTTAAAATCCCAACCATTTTGTGGTTAACCATGGGTGAAATCATGCGTGTGGCCTAATTTTATTTCCTACTTCATAATATCAATGCAATTCTCCAATAATAATTTATCAACAATGCAGTATCATGTATAAACTTGCACATGTACTTAATGTCAACTTTTCCACATTATAATTGTCTGTACTTTAATTTTCAAAATAACAATCTCCATAGTATTATATTTAGGAGGAAGTGCTAAAGCCACTGGGATTATATAGCACCTGGAGAACAGGAAACAATCAAGTTCAATACAAGGAAGGGGAGAATAACTACAATTTGTTAGATCAAGAGCCCCTCATCAGCATCAAGTAACCTCCCTTGGAAGGTCAGCCTCCAGAGCCAACGAACACTAGAAAAAGTGTCTTGACCAGAAACTTGAGTAACTGCTCACAGAGCACCTGCAAAAACAAATTGTACAGGAATGGGCACAATGTGTCAATCAGAAACTAGAAAGAATTTTAAAATAATTATGGAGTGTAGCTGGTGCGGAGTTGACAGACCCACAATACATCAGACTCCAATGATTTAACTGACCTCGCTTTTCCCAGGAGTAGAGTACGTGCATGCACCTCTCAATCACCTGATCAAACGCTATACACTGCAAAATGTTGTCCCAATAAAAGCTTGTTCTGCAATGTGACTGTGACTTTTCTTTACAGCAGAAGATGACTTTATTTGGACTATTAACCAATGAGTTAATAACCCCCCCCCCCCCCCCAAAAAAAAAAAAAAAAAAAAAAAAAAAAAAAAAAAAAAAAAACAAGCAGTAAGGCATGTTTCTACTGCAGCTCATTTTTGCCCCTACCTCATTATGTGACTGTCAACACTTGACTAATACCCAAGTATCTATCTGCTGCTAGGAAGCAAAAGTAAACAGGTGGTAGGAGACATGCCCATATGTCTCCCAGCCTGGGATTCAATCCAGGTTCTTTTAGTTGTGAACTTGCTAAGCTACCACTCACTACAAGATATACTATAGATGAAGCCCTCCTACAACACTCAACAATACGGTACCATTTATAATAACTAACTTTCCCACATGTGAGTTGTCTGTAGCACTTTAGTTTTCAAAATACAGAGGCATGATTAAATCATCTGTTTCTTACATCAGCAGATGAAGCACACAATATTCTCTGGTTCTCCTCTGTTCATATCATCAGAAGTAAAAAGTGAAGAAACTGGATGGAATTTCAGTATTGTACCATTATACTTTGTTCATCACTTTGAATAATATATCTTGAATGGATTTCAAGAGCTTTCCCTACTGCTGCAGCCTGTTTTTGAATCA